AAACAGTTAGCTATATAGGCAGTTCCAGCAGACGTGATAATTTCCTGTCAAGTGTATTTGGTGTTTAATTTCTGCTCTGTGTCCCTTTTTTAATGTCTCCTGTCAGAACACGTGGGTTCGATGTCAGCGGCAACATCATCATGTTTCCCACAGACAAGCAGATGGGCTGTCAGTGTTTCATGAACCCGTTCGACCTGAGAGATTCACAGATCGGTATGTAATCCTGATTACTGCTAAAGAAATAGTTAGCACACAGTATTATAGAAATGAAATACTAAAGGAAATAATCACAGAGAGACAGCATCTTTGTAGAGCTTGTGATAATGAGGAACATTTCTGTTTGTCAATATTCCAGGAAGTCCTGAAGAAAGCTGAGGAGCACAGCAGGCACATCAACGACATCCAGACGTCTGTGGACCTCACCATGTTCATCAGTGCCTCAAAGGACAACAAGGTGAGAACTCTTCTGTAAATGATTGATGTGATGACAGTTGTTGAGAAAAGTTATAAGTCATCAGAATGATGATTTCAGGTCCCTCCTGTCGGGTGGGCCGTCAGGGTCATCTGGGCAAGTGTTAACAGTCATTAGGAGTCTGATGGGTCGTTGTAATCCTCATCAGAATGGTTTCAGTGTGTGGGTGATAGGTTGTGTCTTAGCCCACCTCTTCTGTTGAATGCAAATGTCATGTCCAGTTGCCTAAAGGAAGTCAACAACAACAACAAAAAGTTATTGTTTATATATGTATGGAATTGTGAGGTGATCCTTCAGTCATTTGTGATTGAGACCAAAGTAGAACAACAGAAATATATTTGAAGATATTTATTGATAGTTTGTAATACAAGGATGTGTAAACTGGAGTAAACATTGACTATTTGCTGGTGGTTATAAGAAGATATACCAAAAACCACACAGTAGTAGCTGTGGTTACTTTGAGTGTGTCCACTTGTTCATTTATTTACAGAGACATTTTCCTTCAGTCAAGGCGTGTTGGTCAGTCTGTCCACACTACAGACCTTGTAATGTGAGTCCACTGACTTTTGTACTTATACGGAAATAGACTTAAGAATATTTGAAGTACATCTTAGGAGAAATGAGTGGTACAGCTTGAAACCAACTGTCTGTGATGGTTTTGTGTTACTTTTGAATGTTGACAGATTGCA